AAAAAAAAAAGAAAAAGGAGCCCGAGCCTCGGATAGCAGCGGTCGGCGCGCGGGTCAAAAGACACAGACGCACATAACAGGGAAACAGCAGCAGAGGCAGCGGCCGACCAACGGAGGGAAGACAAGAGGGCAAGAGAGTGAAATATCGAGACTCTTGCGATAGTTGTGTGCTCTACTGCGTAGTCGAGGGAAACGCATACATACACACACATATATATATATATATATATATATATATTATATATAATAGTCGAACCTTCTCGCCACATCATGTCGCTCATCACCGCGTTCCCCTTCCACGCGTACGTCGGCGACCTCAAGACGCGCCGCGTGATGCCGGACAAGACGGCCGTGTCGCTCTCGCTGCTCGCGCCAGAGGACATGGCGCGCCTCGCATTCGTCGAGGTGCGCACGCGCTGCGGGCAGGAGGACAGATCGGCGCCGTGGCGTCCGGTGCTGCGCAACGGTGAGGAGCATGCGACGTTCTACGACCCACGCATGGGCAACTTCGACGTGCGCACGTTTCCGCCGCACTCGTGCCAGACATGCGCGGCGAGCCTCACCGGACGCTACGGCAACGAGCGCTGCCAGGGGCACTTCGGCTTTGTCAGCATGCCGCGCTTGCGCCCCAGCGACCCGCTGCAGAGTGCGGAGCGGATGTTCGTCATGAACCCACACCTTGTCGCCGAGGTGGAGCAGCTGCTGCAGGCCAAGTGCTTCTTCTGCCACAGGCTGCGTGCGCCGCTCTTCGACGTGGAGCGGTACCGGCACGCGCTGCGGCTCATCGATAGTGGGCTCATTGGGGAGGCACTGCACCTACTCGACGTCGTGTCCAACGCGCGGGGGTGCGACATGCGCCACAAGCGCCTGCACACGGCGAACGAGGAGATTGTCAATGACGTCGCGCTGCTGGAGGAGCACGTTGAGCGCATACGCCAGCGGTGCGCCGTGACAAACGGCGGGGAGACGACCAAGACATCGGCGGGGGCAGCAGCAACAACAGTAGGCGGGAAAGGGGCAACGGATGTGCGCAACAGCATTGCACGGCAGGCTCTGCGGGACCTTAAGGAGTATGTCAACGTCTGCACCCACTGCAACGGCATTTCACCGAGAATCACCAAGCGCAATGGCCACTTCTTCTTTTTCTTCAAGAAGAATAGCGCGACGGTGAATGTCGCCAACGCCCTGCTCTCACAAGCCCAGCTGCGGGAATGGGAGGAGAACAACAAGCTGCACAGGCGAAGTCACACGTACTTCTATAACCAAGCCATCCGCGAGCATCTGAAGCAGCTCTTCCAACAGGAGGCACCTCTCCTCAGTTTGCTGTTCCCGCACCTCGGTGAGCCGTCGGTGAGCATGCCGCACGCCACGCCCTTGTCCGCACGCGATATGTACAAGGTGTTTTTCATGGACCGCATCCTCGTCCCGCCGCTGCCGCTGCGCCTTTCCTCCGGTGTGCAGGTGCAGGACGGCGGGGCGATATCGCCAGACACACAGACGCGTGCCCTCTCCGACGTGCTAGGCTTCGTGGAGCAGATTGAGTGCTACCAGACGCTGCGGAATAACTCTACGCCAGAACGCAATCTCGTTTCCACCGCGCAGGAGATTGCGAATGAAATGAACCTGCGCAACCTGCAGGTAAAGGTGAACGAGGTGTACGAGGAGATCATGGGCAGCTTCGCCAAGAAGGAGGGCCTCTTCCGCATGAACATGATGGGCAAGCGCGTCAACCAGGCGTGCCGCTCTGTAATCTCACCTGACCCACTGGTGGAGCCAAACGAGGTGCTGCTGCCCCGCCCTTTCTCCCGCAGTCTGTCTTTCCCGGAGCAGGTGACGTGCTTTGCGCCGGCACGCATGAATCTTCTGAAGCGATGCGTCGTCAATGGCCTGCATCGCTACCCCGGTGCCACGCACCTCGAAATACGACACGCCAACGGCGAGATTCGCTTCATCGACCTCGATGTGCCGGAGCAGACGCGACGGCAGCACGCGGCAAAGTACTTTGCCATGGCGCAGAGCGGTGTTACGCTGATCGTCTACCGTCACATTCTTGATGGTGACCGCGTGGTGTTTAACCGGCAGCCGACGCTGCACAAGCCGAGTATGATGGGATACCGTGTCAAGGTGCTCTCGGGCTACAAGACCCTCCGTTTCCATTACGTGAACGGCAGCTCGTTCAATGCAGACTTCGATGGAGATGAGATGAACATTCACGTGCCGCAGAGCATAGAGGCCAAGGCTGAACTCGACAGTTTAATGGACGCCAACCTCAACTATCTCGTTCCCACATCAGGGAAGCCAATCCGTGGTCTTATTCAGGACCACGTAGCGGCAGGTGTCATGCTTACACTGCGCGATAAGTTCCTCGACCACGCCACGTTTGTACAGCTTGCATACTACGGTCTTGCACCGTACATGCGGCAACAACACGAAACGTCTCTCTCAGAGCTCATTCCTATCCCTGCGATTTTGCGGCCTCGCCCATTGTGGACGGGGAAGCAACTCATCTCAGTGGTCATACGATATGTGAGTGGTGTGTGCTACAGCAATAAAGCACAGGCTGAGGACAGTGGTGTATCACTCAGAGGAATCTCGCTGATTCAGCCAAGCGCGTACAACACCACTATACCTGGTTCCGATACCATTCGCGTCGTTACACGCCAGGCGATGGATGACGATACGGTGTTGTTCATGAACAGTGAGCTGCTGATTGGTCTAATGTGCAAGAAACAACTTGGAGCGTCGAGCATGTCCATTGCCCACGTTGCGCATGAACTGTACGGGCCGCATAAGGTAGGGCAGCTGTTTGGTGCATTGGGTCGTATTCTTTCGCAAAGTTTGCAACGCGAGGGTTTCTCTATCGGCATGGATGACATGTGCCTGGTGCAGGAGCGGCGTCGCGGTGAGCTTCTGCGTCAACTAGACGAAGCCCCGCTGCATCTCCCCGACGATGAGGCGACCGCCATGACGAAGATTATGGAACACGCGACGAAGCTGCAGCAGGAGTTTATGCCTGCGCGAATGATGGTGCCATTCCCACGCAACCATCTTCTTATGATGACCACCTCCGGGGCGAAGGGAAGTAACGCTAATGCGACGCAGATGGCGCTGGGTCTTGGACAGCAGCTCTTTGATGGGCGGCGTGTGAAGCGCATGAACTCAGGCAAGACTCTACCCCCCTTCTTCACCCAAGAGCGCCGTGCACGGTCGTTCGGCTACGCGATTGGGCGCTTTGCCTCTGGCATCCGGCCGCCGGAGTACACCATTCACGCAATGGCCGGTCGTGATGGTCTCATCGACACGGCCGTGAAGACGTCACGCTCCGGTCACCTGCAGCGCTGCCTTATCAAGGGATTGGAGAGCCTCGTTGTGCACTGGGACCTTTCCGTGCGTGACTCCAACGGCAGCGTTGTGCAGTTCAAGTACGGTGGTGACGGCCTGGACCCGTGCAAGGCCTCCACCCTCACGTCGTGGGAGATGGCGAAGGAGAACCTCACCGACCTCAGCAAACGCTTTCAGGTGGACCTTGGCGAGGGTGCTGCTGCTGAGAAAGAAGCGGAACCGGTGCAGCGCGGCAAACGGGCCCGCGGCAACGAGGAAGACGATACCAAGACGGAGGATGTGCGGCAGCAGCACCTTGAGCAGCAGGCGCAGGCGAATCCGCTCCCGCGCCACATGCGTGAGAGCCTCGATGACTACCTGCGCACCAAGGCGACCTTTCCGCTCTTCCGCAAGGTTTCACAGGTGGCGCGGTGGAGTGCGCAGCACCGCGTGCACGAGAAACTCGCGGAGAAGCGCGAAGAGAGTGTGGCGTACTACCGCGACGTCCTTGCGGAGCTGACGGCGAGCAAGCGCGTGCGTGCCTTCTGCG